ATGATGCTAGATTGTTGCGGCGTTAACCCTGCAGACTAAGCGGATGGAATTTTACCAAAATATTTCCTTATACATTTCACATTTATTCCCTACCTAAATAACATTCGTTAATGAGAACTTGGGTTTGCTGCTTCTGAGAAGATAACTTTAACATAGGTATTTTTAATTTTCGTTTTTTTTTTTTAGTAACCATTAAGGGTACGACGAGTTTTAATATCCCAAATTATAAGCATTTTCTTAAGCTCTAAAATCTTAAAAACTTAGCACAGTAAATTGGATGTTTTAATCGTCTATATTAATGTAACCAGACCCATCACACATAAAAATGAATGCAAATGGCTTTGGGCACACATTGAAATGAACTTCGTTACCATAGTATACCTTCTCTAATATACAGGGTGTCCCGGAACTCTCTACCAATATTTTAGGGCATTGATCCTGGGTAAGAAACGTACCTAAATATATTTAAATTGTCCGGAAACCCTTAGTTACTTACACAGCCACCATTTTGTTTTTTTCAGTTATTATTTTTTTTCTAATGAATGGTTAAACATACGAAATGGAAACTTTGCACAAACATTTATGACTACTAGACAAAGCTACAAAAAAGTATGACGATTTTTCAAGTTCATAAAACAAAATGACGGCCATTTTAAATTTTCTTTCTTAAATAGCTCAAAAACCATTGATTTAAAAAAAATTAAATGGCCGCCATTTTGTTTTATGAATTGGGATAATCGTGATAATTTTTTGGTAGCTTTGTCTAGTTGTCATAAATGTTTGTGCAAAGTTTCCAATTCGTATGTTTAACCATTCTTTAGAAAAAAATTAATAACTGAACAAAACAAAATGGTGGCTGTGTGAGTAACTATGGACTTCCGGACAGTTTAAATATGATATTTAGTTATGTTTCCTACCCAGGAGCAATACCCTAAAATATTGGTAGAGAGTTCCGGGACACCCTGTATATATGAACTTCGTTACCATAGTATACCTTCTCTAATTTATATATGGACTTCGTTACCATAGTATACCTTCTCTAATTTATATATGAACTTCGTTACCATAGTATACCTTCTCTAATTTAATATGTACTTCATTACCATAGTATACCTTCTCTAATTTTATATATGAACTTCGTTACCATAGTATACCTTCTCTAATTTAATATGTACTTCATTACCATAGTATACCTTCTCTAATTTTATATATGAACTTCGTTACCATAGTATACCTTCTCTAATTTATACATTAACTTCATACCATAGTATACCTTCTCTAATTTATATCTTCAATATCTTTGACTAATACAACTTCCATCCCCACGTTAAAGTTGCCTCCAGTTTTTGATCAAAACCGTAGTAGTTGATGTGAGCCACCTGATAGTGCTGATATGAATCTAATTTTTGTTGAATACACGAACTTGTTTGCTAAGTCAAACTGATGGACCGATTTATTGTCAGTTATACAGCAACTGTTATGACCCATCAACTACGTCACCAATCTAAAATAAGGTAGGAAATGACTCTGTGATTTGTGCACACAACTATGTTGTTTTTCAATAAAAAATGATGCAGTTATTTTGATTGATTTTCTTTTGGTCTGAACATATTTTACATAGTCAATGACAATACACCTTAGCACGGTACAGAAATGACCCTATGAAGTAAAAAATATTCGTAGCATTTTTAATATATTTTACATGTTACATTTTCCCACCTAAATCTGAAGATTAGTCATGTGTTACTATTTTCCCTCGCGTTTAATATTGAATGATTGACTTGTAAACATCTTGACAGAGTGGAAATTCTCCTCTCGGGACTAGTATTCACAGACACACTAACACACACACAGTTGTATAGATGCCACAGGGCTTACCCTCGACCTTTGATCACGAATGACGACAGACCCTTTTGAAGCCTTTGTCATTTCTCAGTCATGTCATTACGGAGATAACAAAATCGGGCCTTTTCCATCCTCCGTCTTTTGTCGATATTCGAGACGACGTTGTGACGCATTGGAAATACACTTGTGGAATACAATATTGTCCGTTCAGTTAAAATGTTAAAAGAGAATTCGCGGTTTTAGATTTTATTAAATCTACTGCATACGCAAGTAATGATACATATTTCTGCCATCGATATATAAACACAATCGTGTAGAGAAAAGTTGCCCGCAGGCCATTTTATTAGGGACAACCCTAGAACTGATTTTAAATGTTGTACCTAAACACATGTTGGGTCTATTTAACAGCCCGAAATATCTTTCAAATCGTATACAAAGTACTATCCATAACAATCTAACGATTTTGAATCATCCACTTTTAAATTGTAATTATATTGACGTATTTCTTTCAGTTAGTTTCTGTGTTTTTATAATAGGATAATATATACTGGCTGTTGGTATTATTGGTCGATAGCGATATTTCCTTCAATTTTCATCAATAAGTTGTCAGATTCAGCAATAAGTCCTGTTTAGTTGATTTTAACATTTTTGTTAGTTATGCATTACGTCGCTTAAATAAAAACCGTTCAGCTATTTATAAGTACGCATCTGACCTCTTTAAGACCTTACAAATCGTAGTTAATTTTTAAAATTCTCAGAGGGCGATTAGGCCCGGGACCGATTTACTTTTTCATTTTGATGTCCGCAGAGGCCAAAAATGCCAACCGTTCAAAATGTTATAGATTTATATATGTGTGTCCGAGAACGCGATAACTTTAGTAACTTTTGTCAGATTTTGAGCAAATTTGGTGGTAAGGTGTAAGGCGGGATTTAGAATGAGTTCGCGAACCAGCATGATTTGACATGGGAACGGGGTTTTACGGGGGGGGGGGGGTTATGGATAAAAAATTGTTTTTTATAATGGTGCTTTTTATATTATGCGTGTCCGTGAAAATTCGATAAACATTGAACAATGTGTTAATTAAATTATACACTGCTGTTAAACATTCTTGTTTAAACACTTGTAAGCCTACAGTATAAATCACTTGTACATCATGTACAACTTTTAATGATGAGATATTAATGAATACTGATATTATTGGTGATGTTCAGAGGCTCCGATAAGCGGTTTTATTTTATAGGATCAGCTGTTTGTTACAATCCAATTTATAATTATTAACTACGAACCCACGAAACAACCTTGACATGTTTTACTTCTGGAAATTGTTCTAATTGAGTTATCTGATTTTTTAGCATAGATGGACCACTATTCAGTGTTGGATTTGGATGTTAAATAAATTATGAAAAATATTAATCACATTTTTGGTCAAGTAAGATTATATTTTTTGCTTATTTGTAATGCAGATATATTAATTGATAATTAAATTCCCGTAAAGACTACCAATACCCCCACCTCCTTGACTGTTTGTGATCGGATTCGCTCAGCCAAAATATGGGAACTCTGGACATGGATGTTAGAATACCCGTATTCTACTTTGAATGGCCATCAACCTCGATTGGATGCAGTGTTGCAGTACAAATCTAAACGCAATATCTATCTACCATCCTTCAGCACGATGTCGTCACCGTCTCAACCCACCCTAGTGTGCAATAGTCAACATAGCCGGTTTCTATTGCGGCGTCCCTCAAGGATCAGTTTTAGACCCATCTAGCTCCCGGTTGTTAAGTTGTTACGACAGTCCATATAAATAGTCGGTCACCCTTTCTTGTATCACAATAGGCGCCTGGATGTTAGGCGAGTTTTATAACCGGAACTTTCTCGAGCTGTAATAACTTAGGTTCAAGTTGTTGTTACTCCAGTGATTTTTCTTGGAGGAAAAATGTCTTAGTCACGGCCCGATTTGATTCCCAATCTGGCTATAAACTTGCTTCGTTCGATTGTCTGAACGTTCTTAGAATTGTTTAGTTACTCGCTTTAGTAGTCGATTTAATACATTTTGTAAAAAGTAAAACAACTTTGAACACGCGCGAAAGTTATTTATACGCTAGGATGGTTTTATTTAGATGCTTGTATTCCCCTATATACCGAACTATTATTCGCAATGTTCTTTACATCTCATGAAAGGACACACAGGATCGGATGAGATTCATATAGTTAAGTGATGCTTTTCTTGATGAATTTTTACTCAAAATTATGATATGAAGAATTGAGTGTCGCAAGAATGATATACTGTATGGTACTTCTTTTTCTTAAATTTTTAACTGTCCCTAGGGAATTAAAAGAAAAAAATGCTGGAACGAGTATTTGGCGAAATATTTTCATGTAGCTAAAGAGGAAAGTCAAGTAGGACTATGACGTCACTGATTTTTAACGTATACCTAGGTTTGCTGTTACAAGGAAATTAATAAGTATAAAATTAATAAATTTGCCAAGTTTGATTAAAATCTCTACATAAACAAGCTAACGACATTTTACAATATTCTCCATAAGAATAACATGCGAATATTAAAGTTACAATGTTTAGAATTTTCTCCGTTACCAATAACCCTACAAAAACACCTTAATATACTAAATTATTTGTTTTTAAGCTCTTTAATAAGGTTTAAAGAGAAATTAGAAAATTTTGTGTTCTGAGGGGCAAAAAATTAGAAAAACCCCATAACCCCATAACCCTCCCCCCATAAAACCCTGTTTCCATGGTCCGATCATGCTAGAGCGGAACTCATTCAAGTTTATCCCGCCTTACACCTTAAAACCAAATTACATCAAAATCGGACAAAAATTACTCAAGCTATCGCGTTCACGGACACACGTATATATATATATATATATATATATATATATATATATATATGTATATAAATCTCTCTCTCATATACAGTATATATATATATATTAACGAATGGTGTTTTTGGCCTCTAGGGGATCGGTCCCAGGCCTAGATCTAATCGTGCCACCTACGGTAATAGCTACTTCCATATAGCTATTTCCCTATTAGCTAAAAAGGAAAAACGACTGATTATTTGTACTATTTATAAATTGGGACCTCGCCCTGCCTTGACTACATTTTGACCATGTAATGTTTATGTTTCAGCCCTAGCCACACGGCCCTCAGCTCCCTGGATCAAGTGAAGGCCTACCTCCAGACTCAAGGCACCTGCAAGTGTGGCCTTGAGTGTCCTCTAAACTGTGATATCGTCTTCAACTTTGACCCTAAGGTAAGTCATTCAGTGTGGTTCTTTACTGTATTCATTTACTTAAATAAAATATCAATATTCCTGATGTTGTTACCATACGTATGGATGGACCCAATGTAAGGAAAGGTCATTCTGCAATATTTTGAGAACCCTAGGAATTTGAGAGGAATCTAGGTTACTAACAAGAATAGTAGATTCTAGTGTTTTAAGGGTCTAAGCTGTGTACAGTCATAGAAACTACTTTGCATACCAAATTTTAATAGTCTTCGAAAAATGAAAATGTGTTTTAAGGGATCTTGGTTGTGTACATTTGATAATCATATCGTATAAGTTTAATGTAGGTAGTTTACACGGATCAGGTATCCAAGTGTTTTAAGGAGATGGTGGAGTAGAAATTTTACAACTCCAATATCTTATTTTATAGCATATTGTCGAGTGATGTTATGTATTTTAAATACCATTTGCCTTAAAATGCGACTTCATAGTCATTCGCCTGTATAGTATTTAGTAACACGACTCCTATAGTATATTCGTCGTAATATTTATTATAAACTAAATATTTTGCACTAGTTTGTTTAACTCATCTGCGGGAACAAAAGAAGTGAGACTTGCCAATGCCGTGACAAGCTCGACAGATGCAGCATATCTCTGATCGACTCGCATATTCATATTGTTATAATGAGCTTATTAATTATCAACAGCTGTTCACAAGAATTAATTACGTTTTGAGTGCGGGGGTTCGGCAGGTGGGCTCTGTCCCGGGCACCTGCCGATCCCTCATTGTCTTGCACACCCGAAGCTTGCCCATTGCATTGCGTCGCTTTTAAAACCAGTTGTTTCTAAAAGTGGTTTCCTCCACCTGGTTTTTATTAGGCCTGTGATTACAGGCTTACGAGTGTTCGGGACTTTCCGTATTTTTAGTCTTTGTTAAGGTTTTTGAAATTCGCTTCACGATTGATCGACATGTAGATATTTTGAGTGAGAATAATTTTTTGTGAGTAGCGAAGCACCGTTTTTTTGCGTAATTGCATTTCTAAAGGCAGGCGTTCATATAATAGAACCTTATCTGGTTTACGGGTAACATACAATACATTTCACGTTTGACTAATGGACCAGGTAATGTTAAATCAATCCCGACGGGAAACGGACAGAGGAGCGCAAGTCATAAAACTGTCAATCCCTCGGCCGAAGAATTCGTCGGGGTAGGACCGAGGAGCGCTGAGGTACCTTGCGCTCCTCGGTCCTACCCGTGCAAGGAACTAATCTTCTTCTTACAAGGGTTGAACAAGCCAACGCTTGGGTCGACCCTGCAAGTAAATCCCACTGCGCCTCACTGACTACACCATTGATTCAGGCATATTGTATTTTTCTTGTGCAACTTATTATATTAACAAACTAATGTTGTATCTTTATTTTCTTTTAGCTTGATGTAGTTTTATTGAAAATTATAGATGCTAAATAATCATTGAAATTTTGTTCATAAAATTTGTCTTTTTTATTAATTCTAATTATTTAAATTTTAATGGCCGCCATTTTTTTATTTAGAATTGGACCAAGTTAATTTTTTAACATAGTTACTTTCTACCTTAACATAGCCTTACATACCAAGTTTTATAAAAATCGGTTGAAACTACTCAGAGATAAAAATGCCAATGTAACAAATACAAAATAGTGGATAGCTAGATAACGAAGGGATTTTGGGGAAAAACTTTATTTCTTATTTCCTCTTTCTTTATACCCATATAACCATTTCCTGGAGTTTGGCTGTTTACTTACGGGACACCCTGTATATGGTTACGAAAAGATGGGAATCAAACAAAGGGCTTCGGAGAGGAGTGGCGTAAACAGTAAATAATGCTGTGGTCAAGATAAACGTTAAACAAACTAACTCCAGTGTGCTAGTAAATATACAAAACTCAAGAAAGAAGGCGTTGTTCTTGCATGTGGAAACAGTCAACTCTATGATTTGGTAAGATGGATATTTTACTTTCCAGCGTAAATGTTAGGATTCAGTTTCTCTCCATCTGTGTCGTGATAGTATTTTCATTAGTACTGAACCTATAATCGCTGCGTGGGCCATCCGGCTCCTGGCAAGGTGATAGCCCCAGGGATAAGCGGACAAAAGAAACCTTCTGCCTGGAACAAAGTCGGTCACGGTCAACGTGGCGAGGATACAAGATTTGGCAACTGCAGGCGCGGTCACCTCGTGCTGTGTCGGAATACTGATGCTTACCTCTCTCCCACATACTTGAAACTTACGGTTGTTTTTAATAATGGATGATCAAATTTGTTCAGAAAATCAATCATGCGTTTCTTTGTCCTCGAATGCATAAGGACTAATAGGAGTTCGTCAAACGTACATATTAGAGATCGTGTGGCCTCAAACGTCTGTGGACTCCCTTAATCTCTTACCTATGTCGATTAGAACTCCTGGGCCCCTTAAAATCAAGTTGCCTTCTTACAACTAAAAATACGAAAGATTTATTTTTCTAAGCCTTATCAGCCTCTCGTCCTTTCTAGGTCGTGTGACCTTAAAAGTCCGTGTGTAATCTCGTTCTTTCTAGGTCGTGTGACCTTAAAAGTCCGTGGATGCTCTCGTTCTCTCTAGGTCGTGCGACCATAGAAGTATGTGGGTCCTCTCGTTCTCTCTAGGTCGTGTGACCATAGAAGCCTGGGGGTCCTCTCGTTCTCTCTAGGACGTGTGACCATAGATGTCTGTGGGTCCTCTCGTTCTCTCTAGGTCGTGTGACCATAGAAGTATGTGGGTCCTCTCGTTCTCTCTAGGACGTGTGACCATAGAAGTATGTGGGTCCTCTCGTTCTCTCTAGGTCGTGTGACCATAGAAGCCTGGGGGTCCTCTCGTTCTCTCTAGGACGTGTGACCATAGATGTCTGTGGGTCCTCTCGTTCTCTCTAGGTCGTGTGACCATAGAAGTATGTGGGTCCTCTCGTTCTCTCTAGGACGTGTGACCATAGAAGTATGTGGGTCCTCTCGTTCTCTCTAGGTCGTGTGACCATAGATGTCTGTGGGTCCTCTCGTTCTCTCTAGGACGTGTGACCATAGAAGTATGTGGGTCCTCTCGTTCTCTCTAGGTCGTGTGACCATAGAAGCCTGGGGGTCCTCTCGTTCTCTCTAGGACGTGTGACCATAGAAGTATGTGGGTCCTCTCGTTCTCTCTAGGTCGTGTGACCATAGAAGCCTGGGGGTCCTCTCGTTCTCTCTAGGACGTGTGACCATAGATGTCTGTGGGTCCTCTCGTTCTCTCTAGGTCGTGTGACCATAGAAGCCTGGGGGTCCTCTCGTTCTCTCTAGGACGTGTGACCATAGAAGTATGTGGGTCCTCTCGTTCTCTCTAGGTCGTGTGACCATAGAAGTCTGTAGGTCCTCTCTTTCTCTCTAGGTCGTGTAACCTAATAAGTCTGTAGGTCCTCTCGTTCTTTCTAGGTCGTGTGACCTTAAAAGTCCGTGGGTAATCTCGTTCTTTCTAGGTCGTGTGACCATAGAAGTCTGTAGGTCCTCTCGTTCTTTCTAGGTCGTGTGACCTTAAAAGTCCGTGGGCAATCTCGTATTCTAGTTCGTGTGACCATAGAAGTCTGTAAGTCCTCTCGTTCTCTCTAGGTCGTGTGACCATAGAAGTCTGTGGCTCCTCTCGTTCTCTCTAGGTCGTGTGACCTTAAAAGTCCGTGGGCGCCCTCGTTCTCTCTAGGTCGTGTGACCTAATAAGTCTGTAGGTCCTCTCGTTCTTTCTAGGTCGTGTGACCTTAAAAGTCCGTGGGTAATCTCGTTCTCTCTAGGTCGTGTGACCATAGAAGTCTGTAGGCCCTTTCGTTCTCTCTAGGTCGTGTGACCTTAAAAGTCCGTGGGTAATCTCGTTCTTTCTAGGTCGTGTGACCATTGAAGTCTGTAGGCCCTTTCGTTCTCTCTAGGTCGTGTGACCTTAAAAGACCGTGGGCAATCTCGTTCATTCTAGTTCGTGTGACCATAGAAGTCTGTTCAAAGGTTTATTGCGGACATTTCAACCAATTCACCAATTTTTCTCAACCAATTTTTTATTGCGGTTTTCGATAAACCTTTGAACAACATTAACTCACCATCACCAACAATGAACTTCAAACATAGAAGTCTGTGGGTCCTCTCGTTCTCTCTAGGTCGTGTGGCTATAGAAGGCGCTCTTGGTCGTTGGTCCTCTTATACAGTCACTGGGCACTCTTTCTCTCTCTACGTGTGGCCCTAATTAGTAGTCTGCGACCTATAGCTCTCTTTCTCTCTAGGTCGGGAGACTCTGCGCTCGGGAGACGGAATCCTCGTAGTCAGTAGGCGCTCTCGTTCTCTCTGTCGTTTGGGTAGCGGCTGGTGGTAGCAAGCGTTCTTTTTAGGTCGGTCCTGTCAATAACCGGTTTCAAGAGTCGAACGGCAATTCGATTAATTAATTACCAGAAAACTCCAAGCGCCGCTTTTAACACGCATTCCTAATATATTTTAATGTCTGCGATGATTAGTTTAAAACCACTAAATTAGTTTATTGTTTAGCTGTAAATGGTAACTAGCCCTTAATAGCTACTTCCTAGAGGTTGTTTGGAACTCTCTGCTTGTTGTCACTACGAACGTATAATCTCAGTTTTATTGCACGCTGAAATTGCTAGTTTGAATTAATACTGTGTCGTTGAGTCATGTGTAATTAAACGAGAGATATGGCACGATTATACGAATAACACGACTTGTTGATTGTACCTGGTACTGCACACTGATAGCATTGTGTGCCTGCATTAAGTACCTGCAGCTGCTTTCAATTAACTAACATTCGTGAGTCAGAGAAAAGTATCTTACGAAATATATACTAGTAGTTTATCCACCTTACGAGTGGTCGTTCCTTAGCACAAGAATTCCCCTCTGTAAGTAAGATTTGTGACTACACTAAACATACTATCCTTGTTTCACCTTTCATCCTACAAACTAGTAACTAGGCTTTAAGCTAATCAATTCTCATGACCATGACATAAGGTGTGTCAAAGTAAAATATA